GATTATGTTCCACTTGACAGTGGACAGTTGAGCAAAGTGATTAAGGAAAAAGCCATAACACTCCTAGTCTGCATCCAGGTGAATTGTGTTACGTGGTGATGAGAACAGGGATTCTTATTTGTACCCAGATTTGTGAGCTGTCCTGCTCACTAACTACTTGTGGGAAAAATACTCCAGGTGCTCCAGTGTCAACTGAGAAAAAAGGAATCATAATTAGGATATCGATCATGAAAACCTTGCAAAATAAAAGAGGTGATGAGAAACATTAAAATAATTGAAAGACAGAATACAGTGTAAGTTTTTTTTAATGACTAAAAAACAGAGTAGAAATCTCAAGGACCATCTTTAAAACAATAGATATGATGAAAAACAATGTAAAATAATCTGAGTTTCAAGTCCCATAGCGAGAAAACAAACTCAGTGTAAAACAGGTATTGATAGAAGCTTCTAATTTTCTCACCCTCAGAGGACTAGGGAACCAGAGGATGTATTTTTAAAGCAGAATATTGATAATCAGATTGATGTTTGGGGGTTTTGTCATTAACTTTTAAAAATTTAGAGATATACATAGCCAATCAAAATTCAAAGCACCACACCATGGAAAGTCTTTGTCAGGCTGTCCTTTCATCCCCCCGTCTCACATCCTGCCCCTCCTTGGAGGTAGCTTCTGTGTTTCTCAAGTCTGTAGAAAGCAAAGCTTCTATTCTTCAGTGGCATGAGGGTCTACCTTGACCTTGAGCCCTTAGCTCTTTGTATTGCAATGGACTATTTTCCTCCACAGCATCCCTCTAGATGTTTCTAGAAGAACTTAGTTCGCCATTGTATCTTTAGCAATAGTAGAGTCTCCCACACAGTAGATACTCCATAGACACTTTCTGGATGAATGAAATAATGGCAATAGTTTTGTTATTACATTTCAAAACATAAGATATGTAGCCAAAGCTTGACTCAGAAGTAAATTAATAGAGTTAAATGTTTCACTTTAAAATAAACAAATTAAATATTCAATCAAAGATTTGGAATTTTTTGTAAGCTACAGAAAGGGAAAAAAGGAAATTTCTTTTACATGGTAAGTTGAAACGAAAACACCATGCTTAAGGAAAAAAAATAAAACAAAACAAAACATTAGTAGCATTCCCATTTAAATTTGAAACAAAAATTATACTTACTATCTTGAAATACTGAGGCAGCTGCTACAAAAATATCATAGACTAGGTGGCTTATAAACATGAGGGATTCATTTCTCCTAATTCTAGAGGCTAAATCCAAGACGAAGGCCCTGGAAGATTAAGATTTGGTTTCTGGAGAGAGCCTGCATCCTGGTACTTAGCAACTATCTTCTCACAGTGTTTTCATATGGTGGAAGAAATAAGAGAGCTCTCTGGGGCTTCTTAATACAGGCACTAATCCCCTTTACAAGGACCCCACCCTCATGACCTAGTAATGGCCCAAAGGCCCCCTCTCCAAATACAGTTCTGCTCTGTTCCCAGAAATGCTGCATTTCTTGGTGCAAAGAAGAGAAAAAGTTCTTACATATTCAAGGATTCACAATCTATCCTTACTGGACATTGTGGATTAGGTTTAAACATATGATTTTAGAGAGCCATAAATTTTCAGTTTATAACACCTACTATAGCTGTTATTACTCAGTATTGTTCTAGAGATACCATCTAATAGTGTAAGACAAGAAAAAATACAGAAGTATAAATATTTAAAAAGAAGAGATAAAATCGTCAGTCTGCTTACCTTAAAACATACATGCACACACGCACACTCACATACACACACATACAGCCCAGTATATTTGTTTGTGCCTGTAACCCAGCACTCTAGGAGGGAGAGGCAGAAGGGTTACAAGTTTGAGCCCAAGCTAGGTAATTTAGCAATTTAGTAAGATACTGTCTCAAAATATAAAAAGTTGGAGAACATAGCTCAGTGCAGTCCAATATAATGACAGGAAAAGAAAAGAAAAAATAAAACCACATACACATAAGAAAATCAGTTGAAAAGCTACTTAAATAACTCTGTAGTGTTTGTATTGTTCCTATGCTATTTTGTAAATGGATGTATGTTTACTACTATGTGTTTCCTACAACAACCATTGAGAATAGTCAATGAATATTCAATTGGTCACTCATGTATAGCTCTATTTATTTTCTTTAGAAACCACTTTGAAGATACCAAAGTATAGTACAACAACCATTGATAATAACCTACCACTTTTGTCCTTAACTCACTATTATTTGTCTATTTGTTTTCCTGAGAAAACTATCTTGTAGATAACAATATGTAAAACAATGACCATTGATAATTTCCTACCACTTTGTCTATAATTTGGTAAGGCCCCCATTACTGTGTTATCCTTCTTTTACTCTTTAAAATAATAAAAAAATAAAAATAAAAAAATAAGCCATTCAGTAAGATGGCTGAAGATAAATACATGGTTAGAGCTTTTCTGTTAGCAATAAACAACTACATTTTCAAAATTTTTTAAATTAGTTTTTAAATTATTTTTTAAAATCTTGTTACAGCAATAGCAACTATATGATGGTTAGAAATAAATTCATTAAGAAATAGGTTAGATCTATGTCAGTAGAGGTTAGGAAAAGTCTGGGTCAAACTGCATGGGTTGAGATCTCAGGAGCATCCCTCTAACTATTTAGGACTGGCCTAGTCTTCCTAACAATCTGTAATATCAGTCAACATATTAGTTTTCTGTTGCTGCTGTAATGAATTGCCAGAAACTTGGAGGCTTCAAACATCAACATGTCACATTATAGTTCTCCGTGTAGGTAGGTAGAGTGTGGCTGAGCTGAGTGTTCTGCACAGCCTGTCAGAGGCTTAGATGAGGGTGTTGGTGGGGATGCCTTCAAGTTCCTTTGGGTATTGTCTGATCCACCTCCTGCATTTTTGCACTTCAGTTTCCACTTGCTTACACATTGCATCAGCAGTGATTGACAGGTCCTTCGCACATGTCTTCTCCCTCCAAACACCTCTCCTGTTCATCTCTCCTGCTTTTTCCTTCTTCATATCTCTCCGTCCACATCTGTGCTCCTCTGCTGACTTTAGCACACATAGGGTTACGTCAGGCTTACCCAGATCATCTCCCCTGTCTTAGTTACTTTTCTTGTAGCTGAGACAAAATACTCAACACTCAGAGTTAAAGAAAGGAAGGTTTACTGTAGCTCATGACATGTAAAGGTTTCAGTCTGTGATTGGCTGGCTCCAAGGCAGGGTGGAATTAAAGGGGAGAAACAGTTCATGGTAGTGGAAGACAGCAAAAGCAACAAGGGAAGGAGACAAAACTCTTTCTGTTCCTTATATTATATGCAGGCTACCCACCCTGGGGCACTCACACCATAATCCTAGCCAGAACAATGCCAAACCAATCAGTGGACTGATTTACTAATCACACATCCTTGATCCTGATCCCAGCAGCACACACTCTAGATTCAGCCATCTCTGAAAAGTCCCCCATGACTGCGTGAGTCTTTGGGGGAAATCTACACACAAATCTAGACAAGCCATAACATTTCCCTTTTCAGATCAGCTGATTGATAAACTTAGTGATATCTGCAAAACCCCTTCACACCAGTACTTAGATTACTATTTTGATAGTATAGCCAGAGGATGAGAATCTTAGGGTAACATCTTTAGAATTCCACCTGTCACACTCAGATCATGTACAAAGCCACAAGATTAAGAACAAAATGTCCCAAGGGCAACCATCTTAGACTCCTGAAAGTAGTGAAATTCCAGCTTGTATTTCAGATTCCTTTTACAGTTAAGACAGCTGAACCCTAAAGTGACTGTCAGAGGTTCCCAAACTCATAGATGATTTCCTCCTCCTTTGTGAGCATGAGATTTTCTAACCTTGAGATTTTTGGCAATACTTCAGTGCTGTCATCAGTCTTTGGTTTCTACAAGCACATGTAAGCATCTCTCAGTAGATCATTTTCTCTAATGCACCACAATAACTGTCCTATGAGACTTGAATAACCCACGTGGCATGATGGACAGAAGGGCCAGATCTGAAGTTCAAAGGTTTAGCAGCTTCCTCCACTGTGAGGCAGAGCTAACAATGGCCACGCCCAGGGAAAGAAGAGTAGCTGCAAGTCAAAGCATCACCATTTTCTTGGACTATGCACATGTCGTGATAATAGTGGTGCCATCTTTTTTTTTTTTTTTTTGTCATAAAGCCATCTTATGTTTCCTGCATTGCTCTGGTCTCAGCACAGACGAGGACACTATCAAAACCAGTTCCCTGGAGTGATAGCAGAGACTTAAGAATCAAATGAAATTCCTCTGAGCTTCAAACACCATAGTCTGGTAAAGTGCAAAGACTGATCAAGATGGGGGAGAATAAATCGTTCCAACCCATCATGCCCCCCCCCCCCGTCCTGGCCCCTGTGATGTTACTTAGTTTCTGCCCCTCATGGTACTGACTCACATTTAAACTCAATACTTGTTTTTTTTTTGCGCTGAAATTACCCTTTTACAAATCATGAATCAACAAAATCTGTTCTTTGAAGATTGTGTATTCTTCTTCAAGGAGGAGCTTCATTATCAGGCATGGCAGACCACTTAAAGAAAGACTTGCAGCAGTTATTTTTTTTCTGAAGGCTTTCGGGTAGCAATCTCTCTGGGGACTGTGCCTCCACACCCCCAACTTCACTGGCTCCTTCCAGCCGCCACCCCAAAACCCTGTCTGACTCAGAATTCTTTCCCTTGCAGTGCAGAGCCAACCCACTCTGACTCCTCTTCCCTAACTCATGTATCAACAGATCAGATATGCCATAGACCTAAGCCCTTTGCTGTAGCGACAGTCCTGCTTGGATGTCATAGAGGAGCTATAAAAATAGTAATAGCCATTTTTCCTATTATGTGTGATTAGACCCACTTGCTGACTCATGGTCAAAACACTAACTGGTATTTTTCACGTGATTCTGCGGCCCTTTTCTTAAAGGAATGTCTCTGTCATATTTGCTTTTGTTCCAAAGGTGTCCCTCAGCCCACTGTAACTTGGATGAAGAGACGAAGCTCTCTAAGTGACAATGTCTCCTTGCTCTTCAATGGGTCCCTGTTGCTGCAGAATGCTTCCCTTGAAAATGAAGGCACCTACATCTGCACAGGCACCAATGCCCTTGGAAAGGCGGCGGCAGCATTCACACTACACTTGCTTGGTAAGCACTAAGTTCTTATGGCTCCTCCCAGGCTCCTGACAATAAATGCACAGCTAGGCCCAGCTTGGTTGATGCTGGGTTCACAGAGTAGGTGAGAGAGTGGGTATTAAATGTCTTAACCATTGCTACCACAGCCCACTGGAAAATGGGCACCAATCCCTAACACCCCAGGATACTAACTCTGGGATAAGAACTTCTGCCGGACTCCTGACACCTGTTCTAAGCTAGATCTAATCAGGACAGTTCCCAGCCCTACGATCCAACACATGCATACACACACACACACACACACACACACACACACACACACGGTACACACACAACATGCTCTTCCCTTCTGTGAGAGCTGCTCTCTCAAGAGAAATGTCCTCCACTCCTTTCTTACATTGTTCCAATTCCCCTCACCCTGTAGGATAAACTGAAGCCCTGTCCCATGTGTGAATCCTCTGGCCTCACTACTTAGTAGCATTTTGTTCTACAATTGTTTCCTCTTTTATTTCTGTTTCTTCAACTAAATTATAGGTCCCTCAAAGGCGGGGACCATCCCTGATATTCCTCTTGGTGTCTTGGGGGAGTAATGCAGTATAAGGCACATCAACCCACTGAGTCTGAACATTCCTAACAGTTGGTCAATATTGTGACTTGGAGACGGTCATTTCAGCGTGCCTCCAGCACAGGGTGTGAAGCTGACCTCTCCTTTCTTCTGGGGATAAGATCTGTAGATTGTCTCACTCTTATTACCAGACAGATTTACGCTGCTGGGATTTTAGGACTGGATAAATAATGCCCCTCTTTCCCTCCGGAGCATGGAATCAGTTGGGAGTTAACCACAGAAGTCAATCAAGTGGTGTTGTGGCTTATATCTAGATGCCTCCCCCGCCAAAACCTCATGCACTCATAGATGGGCATGCATCTTCTTAGCTGGTTGGATGTAGGGTGTGGAAATGTGGATTAAGGGTGTGATGCTGGGATAAAAGGTGTGTGATATTATATTAGTCCACTGATTAGAATTAGCATAGTTCTGGGTGAGGCTGAATGGACTTACTGAAGACGGAAGCCCCACCCTGGCTGTGGGTGGCACCACCCAAAAGACCGGTAGCCTGGGTGGGATAAAAGGGACAGAGAGAAGGTAGGCTGGCTGCTTGTTACTTTGCTGCCTTTTTCCTGCCATACCATAAACTGTTTCTTCTCTGCAATGCCCCTCTGCCTGCCACCCTGCCTTAGAGCCAGCTCGCTATGGACTGAAACCTCTACAAATTGTGAATTGAACTTAACCTTTCCTCTTAACTTGTGGTTGTTGGTATTTTGTCTCAGCAACAAGAAAAGCAACTGAGACAGGTGGACAACAGAGATCATGTGTTATTTCCCCCTGTATTTCAGGCATCTAAGGCAGATGTGTTAAATATGTCCTTCATGAATGAATGAAATTAAATCAGTGGGAGAAATTAGCATGAGACTGTAGAATTCATGTGAAAAAACTTCCTTTGTGGCTTTGCTTGGTGGCAGCTACAGGGCCCTGGACAGGAGTTAGAGTAGTTGTCAGGTGCAAAGTGCTTTGATGTGCACTAATTCTTTGGGGATATAATAGCAACATAGGGTGGAGGGCAGTACTTCTGTCTTTTTTTTTTTTTTAAGTCAGGGTCTTGCTAAGACACTAAGACATCCAGGATGGCCTTGAATTTTCAACCCTCCTGTTCAGCCTTCCAGAGTGCTGGGATTACAGGTGTGTACCACCACACCCAGCTGTAACATTTGTTTGTTGCATTTATGAGGAAATCTGAGGTTCACAGAGAGATTGGACTAGAGCCCAAATATGTGCTCACCCCTTTGAGGAGTCTTTGCATTACCCCTCATGGACTTTCAGTCTGTCAGAGAGGCAGGGTGTACTTACTTCCTCATGGCTCTGCCCAGAGAGCCTCTGTGATCTTCTAGCATCTGGAATAGAAGACTTGACAGTGGCTATGCCAACACTGTTGGTTCTTCTTCTTCCCTCTCCTTCCCTTCTCCTCTCCTTCTTCTCCTTTTCCTTCTTCTTTTACAATACTGGTGATTGAACCCAGGCCTTTGCCCTGAGCTACATCCTTAGCCCTTTTTTACTTTGTGTTTTTGTTTTTGTTTGTTTGTTTTGGAGACAGAATATGGGTAACTCACTGCAACCCTCTGCCTTGCATCCCTCTGCCTCAGCCTCCCAGCGTGCTGAGACTGTAGGTAGGAAGCTGTTGGGCTCTTGAATGGCTTCTCCAAGCTCTCTGTGAAGCTTCAGCCTGAGCCTTGCTGCTCCTATCCCCACTTCTGCATCTGCGTGGCTCCTCAGCCCAGCTCCTGAGGCTCCTGTGGAGCAGGGTAGCTTTGACCAGTGTGCTTCCTCCAGGCTCTTTTGAAGTTCTGCTGAATTCATTTTGTCCACTCTGGAAGTTAGGCTAGGAACCCTGGTTGCACGCAGAGATGCCACATGCTAGCACTGCGAATAACTCCACTCCCGCCTGCTCCCCACCACTAGGCCCCCAGGAGGCCGAGCATCCTGGGATGCAGCACACCATCTGGCAGGGTGTGTTTCCTCATAGTTGTCTTTAGGAACACCCACGCTGGAATGAAAATTCAATCCTTTCTAATTGAAAAGAGTGTTAACTTTTTGTTTTCACAGAACGAAGATGGCCAGGCAGTAAAGTTGTATTTCCCAAGAGACATAAAAAGCGTGTTCTCCAGGCATCCAACACCAGAACCAACAGCAGCAACAATGCAAGAGGAGAACCCCTGCCTCGAGGTCTGGGATTTTGACTTTCACAAGATTTCCTGTTTGTGAGGCATGTGTAAAGGAAATAATTTAGTGAAAGGCCTCTGCATATTTTCTTAGTTTGCAATATGTAAAACGATTCCTAGGCACTTGGCCAGGTTTTTTTTTTTTTTGCTCCTTAGTCTTTGATGGTTCAATTTATTTTAAAGAGAGTAGTAAGAGAAAAAAAAGAAAAGAACAGTAGCAGCATACCAACATCACAAACATAAACAAGACAAAGCAAGCACATTAAAAGTGATACAGGGTTTTGAAACAAAATGATAGAAATTAAGAGAGTCATGATTGCAAGTTACATTTGTCTTTCACCTTTAATTTTTTTGGTCCCAAGAATCAAACTCAGGACCTTGAGCTTGCCGGGCAGGCACTGTGCCACTGAGCTATATCCCCAGCCCTGATGGTTCAATTTATTCCTTCGATATTGAAACGTGTTTTAGATAAATGTACTTCTGAGGAAGCCCACAGAGCTTCCAGTATAATGTACATCATTATTTGTGATAAGTATTGATTTTCTGGTTTTAAGGCTATTGCCAACTCAGTAAATGTTAATAGAGGTAAGACCTGCTAAGAGTTTTGAAATCAGTTCTTTCAGTTTGCTTTTTCCAAAAAAAAATTCCATTTATATTAACTATGTCATACATCAGTGCTTGATCAGAAGAACCTAACCTAAGTATCTCAAGCTTGCAAAATTCTTCAGAAGGCCTGGGAGTAAGATGGAGTTGAGAAAATCAGAAAGTCAACAATCATGGACCTTTACTGATGATCTTAGTAGCTCTAAAGCGGGTAAATCACAGAAGGACACACAGAAGCTGCTGTTAAACCTCACATTTTACTCCTCTGTTATTGTACAGGAACAATAATGGCTATGTCATCTCAGTGTTGTCAACCTTGAGTAATAACTCACTCAGAGAATAGATACCATAAAATTATAACTGGCAGGTAGGGATTCTAGGATACATAGTCTCTAGACTTCTACCCCCTGAGATGCAAGAGCAACAAAGGAGAAAATAGTATTAAGCTGCCAATCAACCATCTGTCACATTATAAGCTCCTCATCCAGAAGTATTCATATTTTTCTTGTCTTCCTTTAGAGACAGTGCTGCCATTATGACATACACAATTATCCTTTCATCTGACATTCAACAATATTTGCTGAGTGCTTGCTCTTCCCAGGGCTGAGGATACAGAGATAATTGGGTCCATGAGAAACTGACAATCTAAAAGAGAGGCAGTCATGTAAGCAAGTATTTTGGACCATTGTAACAGGTGCCTAATAGTGGGTGACCAAAGTACGTGGTAGCACCAATGAAGACTCTACTTTTCTGGAACTGTCAACTCAGTTTTCATGTAGGGCATCATGTTTATTCTGGAAAGCAGAAGAAGGACATCCTAGAGAAAGCAGGTTGTGCAGAGGCACAAGAAAGTTGCATGTGGCATGGGATGTGAAGATCAAAAGAACTTCCTCAGGTCAACTAATGAAAAAAAATGACATTTATGTGATTCCTGCTGCTGGGGAAGGTCAAGCTTTTGCAGTAAACAAATGCTTGGTTTCGGTATATCACCTCCTAAGCAGATGCCCACATTTACACGTCCCTTCAGTGGTTACCTATCTGAGCATTTCAAAGGGACTTGTTTATCAATTTAACAAATATTGGTCAAAAGACTAATATATAATATGACCGGTCCTAGTGTTGAACAGAACAGTGCTTATGGATGTGGCATTCCAGAAAGAGATACATAAATATATATGAGGTATTTACCTGTGTAAGAAAGAAAAAAATAGAGGGATAAAGTACATGGTGCTTGGAATAGACAGCTTGGGATAGATAAATATGGCAGGAAGGCAGGCTCCAGAGGAGATGTTGTGCAGGCCCAGACAAAAAAGGGTGAGACAGAGCTGTTCATGCAGAATGGCAAGGAAAGAGTATTTCTGGCCGAGGAGTAAGTACAGACCATAAAATGGGAGTTCAGCCTACTGCGGTCCAGGGACAGAAATGGACACAGGCGACAGCTGCCATGATGCTGTCAGAGAGTTGCTGAAGACCAAATCATTCAGGATTTTGAGGGTCAAGATAAGGATCCCAGAGATTGCAAAAACTTGGGAGGCCCCTTTCCTGAAAGGTAAGGGATTATATTTGGGAGTGTTATGATATGATCTGCTGTACTTTACAAATGTGTGCATGTCAGTGAGACTAACTATAAAACAAAAAACAAGAAAATTGGGATTCATCAAAATTTTAAAGATCTATTCAGTAAAACACCATTAAGATTATGAATAGAGGGCTGGGGATATAGCTTGGTAGTAAAGCACTTGCTTAGTGTATGCAAGAGCTTGGGTTCAATCCCCAGCAACAGGGGACAGGGGAGAGAGAATGAGTATGAACAGGCAAGCCACAGACAGGGAGGAATCCTGGCAGAATGTATTTCTGAGGAAGAGGTGCTATCTCGATTATACAAAGAACTGTCCCCAAATTTGCAGTGAGCATGTGTGCATGCACACACACACACACACAGACCAATGTGGAAAAAGACTTGAATAAATATGCATAAAAGAAGGTATACAGGTGGCAAGTGCACACCCACCAGAATAGCTGAAAAAGAAAAGATTCACCTTATCCAATTTTGGCAAGAATGCAAAGCAGCTGAAACTCTCATACACTGCTTATCTTACACACTGTTGGGGGCTGGAACCCATGGATGCCTGACTCCAGATCTCCAGAGTCAGGCATACTGGGTTCCAGTCTCCCAGCAGTATGTAAGATAAGACCACTTTGGAAAACTCCTTGGCAGTTTGTTATGAAGTTCAGCATACATCTACCCTTGACCCAGAAATCCTACTCACAAGGGCTTACCCATAAAAAATGAAAACACGCTTGTTTTTCAGCCTTGTTCACAGTAGTTGTAGACAGGAGAATGTATGTTTAAAACTGTAGTATATTCACAAATGATATATTATTCAGTAATAAAAGGATGAACTACTTGTAGGCACAATGATATGAGTGAATCTCAAAAGTGTTACACCGTGCTAAGTGCAAGAAATCAAATGCAAAAGAGTACATATTGCACAAAGCCCAAGAATGAGCAAAGCCAGGGTAAGTGATGGCCTGGGGAGGGAGAGGAGCTGATTGGAAGAAGCAAGAGGAAACATTTTCAGGGTGATAAAATATGATATTCTTTCCTTTGGATCACAGGTACAAAAGTTCATACAGGTGTGAAAACTCATAAAATCACACAGCTGAGATCTGAGCGTTTGAATTATGACTGCTCCTTCAATAAAAAACACACATTTTAAAAGAAATGCACATATGCTCTGCCTGGAAATGTCGAGGTTTCTTTGTGAAATGTGGCATAATGGAAAGAAATCTGGAGTTAGGCATACATGGGTTGCAGCCCCTTAACAGGTGACAGAGCTGGGATAGGTCACTTAGCCTCATTCAGTCTCCACCTCTGCAAGTAAAAATACCCACTTTACAAGATAACCAGGAAGAGTAAATAAAATATTGGTTATAAAGCATCTCACCCACACCCTGTCACCTAGGAGTTCTCAATAAAACAGCCATTTTTAAAAAAACTTTTAAAGAAAACTGTAACCCTGAAGGTCCAACTCAAACTATATTTTGTGGTTCTGCTTTGCAAATGATGCCATGTGCAAAAGTCAAAACTCAGAAGGAGAAACTGGAAAATAATAAGTTAAAGAAATTGCTCTGCTCTATGGGAGTGCTGTGGCCACAGCTGGGAGCTATCTGTTCCTTGTGATTATTGCAGGGAAATCTGGCACTTTCTGTGATCAGACTCAAATCTGTCATCATCATTTCCTACCTCATCTCTCAGCAAGCATCAACAGGGAGAGGAAAGGCTATTAGGAATGGGGTCTAAAACAAAAACTTGAAATTCCTGGAGGTGGTTAACTTCTACTTTTCCAGAGGAAACGCCCATTTTTACCTTTCCAGATGTCTCAATGACAAATCATTTATGCAGTTTCAGCACTAATATGAAGTTTTGGTGAAGAATTAATGGAAAAATAAGAATGGAACTCAGATGCATCTTTAACCTTAGTGCTTAATTTCTGGTCCCTCTTCCTTCTGCTAAATCGCCTTTCATTTCTCTGCCTGATCCACGTTTTGGAAATTGCACTGGGGAGCCCTTCCTCCCTTGTGCTGTTGGCTCCACTTGGAGAAGTCTCTCTGGAGTTTTCTGGCAGATCTAGCTGGCCTGTAATAGCCCCTCTTCAAGGCTGTGGTCCAGAGACCCCATTCTGGCCACCATTTCCCACGAGTTATTACAATAAGTCCGCTGAAGGCGCATAAGATTTAAAGGACCTCCTTGCACTGTGAAATGGCTTTTCCTGTGTGCTACTTGAAAAACCAGACAGGCAGCTAACCTGAAAATAGCTCATGGTGCTCTCTGGCCATATCCTCTCCAACCCATCATCATTTCTTACTTGGGGGCTGTCATTTCATTTCCTTTCTTCAGAGCCTTTTTGGGAACCTGGTAACTGGACGCATTGTTCTACCACCTGCGGCCACTTGGGAGCCCGCATTCAGAGACCCCACTGTGTGACAGCCACGGGGCAGGAAGTGAGTGCAGCCCTCTGTGGTCACCTCCAGAAGCCAAGGGCCGGGTTCCAGCCCTGCAATATCAGAGACTGCCCCGCAAGGTATGTGAGATTACTCTTACAATGCCAGCTTGCTGCTAGCTTTTAAAGGCACAGCCATCTGGTCATTTAGCTCAGTGGCATACAGTTCAGCACTTCCTCTCTACCCGGTCTTCCCCTAAATGCTTCATGTAGCCTGTGAGGGACATGTTAGTTTCTGTCTTACAGAAGGAAACACACCCTGATCCTAGGCCCTCCAGTTCCAAGAGCCAAAATTTCAACAGTCAGTCTGACTGCAGAGCCTTTGCCCTTAACCATCACCCATTCCTGCTTCCTGAACTCAGTGCTGTACTTGCTCAAGCCATGGCGAGGCTGAGGTCCTGAGCTCACTAGGCTGAACCCTGAGAGTAAATCTGTGACTGTTTTTGCTCATTGACTTATTCCTAACACTTAGCACAATGCCTGTCTCATGATATACTATAAATATGTGTGGAATGAATGAATGATTGGACAGCATAGAACCTAGCAGATAATTGGCCAAATGACAGCAAAATCTACAGTCAAGTAATTAACAAAGAGGTATCTACTGAATACAAAACAATGAAACAGATACAACTATCAACCCTATTTTTCTTTTTTTTTTTTTTTTTTTTTTTGGTTTTTCTCCGGTACCGAGAACTGAACTCATGACCTTGTGCTTGCCAGGCAAGCGCTTTGCCGCTGAGCTAAATCCCCAGCCCCCAACCCTATTTTTCTGATGAGAAAATAGAAGAATGCTTAAGGGCTCTGCTCAGAGCCCTTGTGCAAAAATGGCCACAGGACAGCAGGTCACCTGTGCCTTGGAGGATAGCAGGAAGCAGAGTCACACTAGAAAGCCAACCTGCTGCTTTGGGCTGTTCCCAAGGCTGTCAATATCACGGGGACCCTGACTGCTATGTCTTCCTGTGCCCATTATACAGATACTTCTAGTTTCATGACCCAGTTACACTCCTGTGGCTAGGTCATTAAATACACTGGCTGCTAAATGAGGCAATGTCTACAGTATGTACATTACAACATTTAGAAGAAATGGTCAGACGACCTCCAACTTAATGATTGCTTTTACTTGCATAACTTTTATATGCATGGGCCGGGGATATAGCTCAGTGGCAGAGTGCCTGCCTGGCAAGTGTGAGGTCATGAGTTCGATTCCTGGCACCAAAAAAAAAAAAAAACCACCAAAACTCTTATATGCAGTACTGTGATGTATAGCAAAACTATAAAATGACAGTACTGTACCCTACAGTACAATCAGCAAAAATTACAGCACTATATAAACAAGGTGTACTATACACAAGTAGACATTGCTGCTTTATAATGAAGATGAACAGAACTGTACAAAAAAAAAAAAGACAGGTTGTTAAGTCTGAACAGTCATTAAGCAGGCATGTCATTAAACAAGGAATGTCTGTTTTAAGCATCATATTATCAAAATAGTTCAATTAAAATGATTTCTTTTTCTTAAGAACATATCCTCTCCAATAACCATTAAAATAAAACACAGCAGCTACCAGCAAATCATCATATCAGCTGAGTTCAGCTGATACCTCCCATGTCAGAAAAGGCAGGGCTAAAAGTTATTCACAAAATCCCAGCTGTCTCATGATACAGCAACGATACAGAAAGTGCTTATCAGTGCTCATGATTGCCAAACAGATGCAATCCAGACATGATCTTTAGCAAGTCTATACAGCAGCTATTCCTGTATTGCTTCACATGCCCTTTCCTGGCATCTAGCAGCTTCCATGCATTCTTCAAGGTTACACTGATCTCACGGTTGATGTTTCTGGAAGCTGTGGTTTGAATGTACTGTTTAGGCTCATTAGTGAAAGAGCGTCTGGAGGTCATTGCAAGGGACCAGTGAACATAAGGTATCACAAAACTATGAGCCTGCTAGACTCTAAAAATCATTGAAAATGCCAAATAACCTTGACAGTGAAGCTGGTATTCATGGAGCCACTGCTCTGTCTCTGCAGTAAATGCATAGGGGGATAGAAAGACATATAAGGTATGCATGCAGTAAAGGAGCTTACTAGCCAGGAGGGTAAGAGAAAAATGAAACACATAGCACAATCACAGAGCCAAGAATAACAGTGATAATTAATTGTTCAATTGTTTCCTGCAGTTCAGAAGTGTATATATAACCCTTGAGAAAATATGTGCACCCATGTGATATGAGACATTTCTACATATCAAAGAGTTTTAAAGGTAACATCACTTCTAAAGAATGTATTTATATCTGAGAATTTATTTACCTCCAAATGAACCAGTTTTATTATAACCTGAGGAACTCTTGGAAGCAAATAGTCCTTAGAAGTGAGCCCAATAAAAAGAGTGTGCTGATGAAGTTTTGTGGCCCTTTGGCCCAGCTGTTCTGCCTGCATCATAAGTGATCAGTGGGTCTCATATGACTGTGCTCCGCATCACTCCCTTCTGCATCCAAACAGGCAAAATATGAGATTGTATGTTTTGCCTCGATATCCAGAAAATGTCAGGTAGCTTACTTTTTCCACTAGTATCAGACATTATAGAGATAATATGTATTTTGAACACATTTGTCTTTTCATGGATGCTGTGTTTATTTGTACAACATGCTTAGTGAATTGCCTAAAATACAACAGGATACAACCATACCTCATTTCATGGCCAAGTTCTGTTCCTACAACTAGGTCATTAAATGAATTGGCCACTAAATGAGGAAATTTACATAGGATGTGCATTACAATATTCAGAGCAAAGAAATGGTCAAAGTGGACGCCAACTTGATGACTTTGGTTTTATTTGTGTAACTCTTACATACAGTACTGTGATGTGTAACAGAACATAAAGCTATAGCACTGTACTGTAGAGTACATTCAGCAAAAATTACAGTGCTATAAACAAGGTGCACTGTACAAAAAAGGCACTGAGGTTCTATAAACAAGATGTGCAGAACTGTAGAAAGAAAGAGAGAGAAGAAGAGAAAGAAACAGTGGGCAAAAGAAGGAAAAAGAGGAAAAAAAGGAAAGGAAGAAAAAAAGAAAGAAAGAAAGAAAGAAAGAAAGAAAGAAAGAAAGAAAGAAAGAAAGAGAAAAGAAAAGAAAAGAAAAGAAAAGGAGAGAAATTGACTATAAGTACAAGAAGCAGGTCATATGTCTGAATAGTCATTAAACTCACAGGTGGCTAAATGAAAAGTATCTGTAATTGCTCAAAGGAAGATCTCATGCTAAGAATCACCCCTCAGAAAGTGGTGAGCTCATGCTACAGTGACCAAGGGAACCGGAGGGAACTGCTTTACAGAGGGAACCGGATCTGAGAGAGCTGCTTTATGTCAGTTCTTGATTTTCACAGAATAGATAGGATACACACTATGCAGCAAAGTTTATTAAATATTCTCAAGCCTTTTCACACTCCTAGGGTTAATAGGGTCACACACTTTCCCACCTACTAGAGACCATAGAGGTCCCCCGGTCCCCCAGATCCCTGTACATCACGGTTTTTAATTTTAACATTTCTGTGCCATGATGTCCTCGGGTAGATGAGAAGCCTATGGCTACTTCCTCAGCAAGGTTTTTAAATATATAAAATAAAACCCATGATTTACAAGGAAGCCAATTATATTGAAATATATTTCTTGAAAATTTTTTAAATGAGATATATAGTAAGAGATTTGCTTGTCTCTTAACACACTAACATCTAGTTGTACTTTGATTTTAAAATGACATAAGCTGGGGAGATAGCTCAGCGGCACAGTGCCTGCCTAGCAAGCGCAAGGTCCTGAATTTGATTCCCAGTACCACAAAAAAAGTAAAATAAAATGGTATGAATATAAATGAAGTTTTGAGATGTGTGTCATAATTGCAGTGTGATATGGAAATGCCTTTAATTTCCATTGGCAACAAAATCACAGGTATTGCTATTGTGGTGTATGCCCTGTTTTTATCACTGAAGGAAGTGCTCAATTTCAATTAGATTTAGTGACCAAGCACAAGCTCTTGTGTAATTATGGAGCTTGTTTGGAAAGATCTGCTCCACAGAACCGTAGCAGAAGCATGGACACCTTCAGTAACAAAGCATTCCATACCTCAAAGACATCCACATCCACGTTTAGCCTCCTCTAATCATTAAAGATTGAACTTTAGGGTCAGATAAATCTAGAGCCCATTCCCAGCCCTATTGTTAGTTTAGTTATGCAATCATAGCCAATTTATTGAGCTAATTCTCTGTAAGAATGGAAATAACACAAGAATTACATAAGATGTAAGTATCTTATGGAGCAAATAGCACATAAACACGGTAGAAACATTTTCTCCCTTTGGTTTCAAGGAAAGATTACTTTTTTGAAATTTCCCCCTCTTTTTGCCCCAGCTACACCCTCTAGGGCCATACAGGTGACCGTTCTCCCTAATCCTGAAGATGACTCTAGCCCAGCCCTATACTGATCCTCTCCACATAGTGACTCTGTGGTTCCCCTGAGTCAAAGAATGTTTGAGAAGATGGGAATTATCTGTGCAGCTGCCCCTTCCCATGGGGACAGGTGACAGCCCTGGAATGACCTCAGTGTTAGGTCAGCTCCTTCTTTTGACAAGTCCAACCACGAGGTCTGACATACCAGTCTTACTAAGGCCTTGTAGTCTTTGTTCCTAGGTGGTTCACAAGTGTGTGGTCAGAGTGCTCTGTGTCTTGTGGGGAAGGGTTCCACAGTCGGCAAGTGACGTGCAAGCAGATGAAAGCCAATGGAAATGTACAGGTGGTATCACCAAGGGCATGCGACCCTAAAGACCAGCCTCTGGGAAGAAAGCCATGCTCTGGTCATCCCTGTGCTCATTGGCTCATGGAACCAGGCAACCAGGTAATCTCTTGTGTGGATGGGACTCTCTGTAATCATCTTCTTGTTTGCAAGGAATTTTGTAATTGGGTGGGGGATCTGATTGATCTCTAAAGTGAATTTACATCTCTGATCTCAAGGTCTACATTTGGAAATGACAGTGTCTCCGTCTTCCAGTGTAAAAGTTAACCACATTGAGTCCTTCAAATACAGTGGACCGAGCTACACAATAACAGAAACTCCAAGATAAATCCATTGAACAGTAGGAATAAAAGCAGCTTTCAAGAAAAGGAGGAATGTGAATGATATCCACACAAAACCTCAGAACTCATGTCCCCAATGCCACCCTAAAGAAAATTATGTTAATTATAAATGCTTGGTAATTTAAGGACTATGTAGCACAAACATGTACTAAAAAACAAAATGCTTAAGAAAACAATGTCTTTAATATACAGAAACTCTTAAAGAAAAATATAACACATTATTAAAACACATAATGTGAATGTTGGACAAATAAAAGACCTATTATATTCCTGCATGGAAAATGTCAGTATGGATAAATTGAACTATATCTAAAACTGAGACTTTTACTCTGCAAAGGATATCATCAAGAAAGTAGATGACAGAAGAGGAGAAAAGGTTGAAATGTATCTGAAAAGGAACACATATCTCAAATATATTTTGAAAACTATAACTCAAAACCACAAATAACCCAATTAAAATATGAGCAAAGGATCTGAGTTATATTTCTTGATTAAAGGTATACAAATGGCTTGTAAATATGTACAAAGATGCTTGCTGTTAGTCACTAGGGAAGTGCAAATCAAAACCACAGTGAGATACCACCACATACTAGGATGGCATTAGTTTAAAAAAAAGATAATCATGGAAGTGAGTGCTTCCATGGAATCAGAACCTTCGGATACTGCTGGTGGGAAGTGTAAAACGGCACAGCAACTCTGGAAAACAGTAGGACAGGACAGGCCCTGCAAAGGTTAAACATCAACTGCAATATGACCCAGCAATTCCATTCTGAAGTACATATATATATATATATATATATATATA